GTTTAAAAAAAAATAATAATAATATTATGGCGCTGGTAAAAATGTACTCGATACTTCTTTTTATAAATTTGAATTTGTTAATTCATAACTGTTATTATTGTCAACAATAATATACTATGATAGATAGGTCTTAAAATGATGAGCAATGAAACATTTTATAATATTCTAATATTATGACACTATATGATTATAAAGAAACCTATATTACGATTGTTGGCTGTCATTATTATTAAACAAGCAATATAAATATTATATGTGTGGATGAATAATAATAGACACATTTTAAAATAGTAAATATTAATAGGGCTACAACTCAAATATTACACAAAAAACTCGGATATAACGTAAGTACTAAAACCCAGGCAGCATTTCGAATTAAAACTAATATTTTTTCAACGTTATCTTTGGAAGGCAGCTAGTGTATAGTCAAAATTTTAATTTTGACGTTCATTTTTATATTTTATTTTACTTACATTAATATTTTAAGTACATAATAAATTGTAACGTATGGTAGAAATTAAAGTTCCTCGATGATAATAGGTACTTTAAGCATTCAAGCTCTAGCGTACTTTTATAGGACTAGAAATTAGACACTTCACGATTTCCCAACGTTTTAAAGAGTATTCCAGACATAAGACAGTCTATTCGAGGATCATAGATATAATTAATTGTATTTAATAAAGGAATTAATCATAGAGGTTGAGCAATAGATAAATTCAATTTTTGTAAATATTCTAAATAACTCAAGTCGAAAAAAAGGTTTTTATAATTTTAAATTAAAACAATTTAAACCATATGGTGGTATTTTTAAATTCAATCAATATACCTACTATTGTTTTACATTTTAAGACTTTGTGCGATAAATTATAATTTTCTCTGGTTATATATTGCTCTAATTCAGGATTCATACTAGTAACCTATAAGTACTTACTACTAAAATTTAAAAATCTAAAAATGTTCATATTTTAAACATTTATTTATTATTTCGAAAAATTTTAAGAATAATGACTCTATAAAAAAAAAATATTTTAATAATTTTAATAATTTAATCGTAGAACTTACTTCCAATTCATGTGACTATTTTCACAAAACGAATAAAGTGCATTGTCGTGTTCATCTGCAATATCCGTTCGATTACAATTATTGATGTTAATATTACTGTCATCGTTTGCTTTTATTATTTCCATTGTAAAATTAGTTGACGTTTAAATAATTGTTTGCAAAATTAACTTCAGAAAAGTTTGTTCAATATGGCAATTTAAATGATTAGAAAAAAATTGTGATTAGATAGAATTAAAATAATATTTAATAATATTTCAAGTAAACGAGTGTAATTGTATTTTTTAATTTTTTTTATTATCGTTGCTTCAACTTTACAGACATAGAAATTTCACACGATACATTAAAAAAAAAAAACAAACGATATTTGTCTTTAAATTTTATATAAACACTGGAAGTTGTTGTTTGCTATAACAAGTTCGCTATCAAACTGTCATGTGTAAAGCGACTCGGTTAAAGAACACTAAATACGCAACCCACACGTTCGTCAGTTGCAGCTGTTAATACTATATAGAAGCCTAGATATGTGTTACAGGGAGGGCCTATCGATTTTTTGTATGACGTCAGCAATGGGTTCTCAAAGTTCGTGTTCGACTTAGCGCATAGCATATCATTATACTGTACGTTGTCAAGTATACAACATTGAATATATAATAATATAGGCCGGTAATTGCACACTATATATGAAACCTTAATAAAAATTAATTAAGTGTAGATTGTGCAGCGTGCGCATAAGGATTTAAATGGATACTTGTATATAGGTATTATATTATAAATTAATTGGTGTGTGCTTTCGCACTTTTAAATTCACGTTAAATAACATTATTATTTATTGTTTACGCAGTAGTATAAATTAATTAATAATTATTTTATAAACTGACATGTTACGTATATTACATAACCTAAGTAGATACACTGACTATATATTACCACAATATTTCGCATGGTGTTAAACAAATATTTACTTAAACGATTTAAACGATCAATTTATACTTTAACAGGTTGTCCGCCGATAATACCTATGATTAATTTTACGTTATTAGTTTTCATAATAAACACTATTAAAACACATTAATTAATATTGTTATAAAGGTATACCTATTAAATATGTTAAGGTTGAATTTTATGTAACTATTGAGGAAAATAAAATTATTTGCTTGTCAATAAATCATAACGATAAAATGGAAGTAAATTTGAAACTATCTACGTCCAGTAGTGGACTATATTAATATACCGCGGCCAGCAGGATATCCGGAATTGCTTCGGAAGGACGCAGCGAATAGTGGACTGTTCGATTAATAATTTGATGAATTTTTGTTTATGGCTATAGAGGAAAATACATTATATACATTTAGTATTATATTCTGTTTTTAATTTTTATCAATACAAAATATAAGTCATTTGTTTAGTCATAATTACTAATAAATTTAAAGGTAATATATTATCTAAATTACTACAAAATAATCAAACACCAATGCCCTAAAAAAAAAAAAAACACTAAATATAATATACAAAGCGTTAAAAATTTAATGGCCGGTGAAATAATTTTCTCGAGCCAACATTTTTTTCATAGTCCACCATTGCCCACATCTATAATTTATTTATTTTCTTAAGTTCTATAATTTAAACTTTTAAGTTAAAATATATTAATCATTAGTAATTTTATACGATTTAAGTCGTTCTCAATATTTTAATCAACTGATATTATTAGTGGCGCAACAAAGAGAGATAAAAGGGTACGATAGCTGCCGGGCTCAGACCCTAGGGGACCCGAGGTACATTTTTCTTTTAATAATTTACTGTTTTAAATTTATTTTAATTAACAGTTAAGTTAAATTTTAATTTTATGTAATTAATATGAACAATATTACGTTATAAATTCAATTTTTATGTATACGAAATGCTTATAATGACTTATTGGAAATTAAAAAAAAAAAACTTCAAAGTATTTATACATATTTTGTAAATAGTAAGAACCTATCGATAGGTAAATCACATATATGTAAATATTAAAAATTATATACTTATTATTTATAATTAATTATATTTAATCTATATATTATATTTTACAAAGCAAATATTATATCGTAGGTATATATTAAAAATATATTTATAGAAAATAAAAATTATAAGAACTACAAAATATGCACAACAGATTATTGTTTTATAATTTATAATGGAGGATAAAATTAAATAAATATTTTGTCATCACATAATTTATTTTGATTTTAGAATTTAACAAACAACATATTTCACAGTTAAATTGTATAGAGTGATTATTTTATTAAAGAACACTTATTTTCAGAATCTGTTAACGTTTTTAAATTTATTTTTTTTACATAATTTCTGGTCAAAATAAAACAATATATTTATTTTTTTAAATAATATTTTTATCGCTATAATTTTTTAAGTTTTTACTTTTTTTAAAGATGATATACATTCTTATTTTTTATTTTCTGAAACAAAATATTATTCGGAGTATTTTGAATGTATAAAAATCGAAATTCAGACAAATAATTAAAGTTTTGGTAAACGGAGTAGAGTGATACGGGAATAACCCGCCAAATATCAGTCAACTTCTTCACTTACTTAAATTTTAAATACATATAATTTATAATCTGCTCGTCCGAATTTCAATTTTTATATATCAAAACATAAAAATATTCTGCTTCAAAATATGAAATTAAAAATGTATGTTATCATACAAAACGTAAAAAACTTAAAAAAATTATGTTTTACTTTAACTATAGGAATTATGTAAAAAAAAAATATTTCCAAAAACTTTAATAATTATAGAAATTAAAAGTGTTGTTCGATAAAACAGTCACCCAGCATATACAAATATAGTATAAAAATAACTGTGAAAGTGTATCTGAATGGACCTCGTCAATGCAGAATAGGTAACTGTAAACATTTTATGTACCTAGTAGTAAACGTTATAAATATATGAAAAACATGAAAATAATAAAAAACTATTACTCAGATAAATCTGAGACGCTACTCGACGACAAAACATAGTTATGAACAATTTAAATTAAATCTCATATGGTCATAAATTTGAATATAAAATGCAGCCGATAAACAATAGTATTGACAATTTGTTGTGGACCACTAATTACTAAAAACAGTTTGAACATTATAATATTATATATTATATGATATCTACTAACAAATGATATTTTCTATAAAAATGTATTTTAATTGAATCTTTAATTAGCTTTATTTAATATAAGAATCTATAACTTTTTACAGGCGAATTTTATTCGAATTTATTTTGAATGGGTTCATTATAAAACTTTTTTATAACGCGATAAATTAAAACATTTTCACTAATTTTATTATGCTTTGTATATAGTAAATGAAAAATTAATTGCAAAGTTTATCTATATTTTGTTAAAATATATTTTTTAATTCTAAGCAAAGTTACGAGTAAATATTGGTTTTATACTACACTTGGTGTCAGTCGTCACATTTAGAAGCAGTAGAAATGCTCTAATTTTCAACTTTGAGGGTGGTTTCTGGTAACAAATTGGATCTAGTTTGTACTTTGGTAACTCGTAAGGTCAAAAGATTAGAAGTGTTAAAAATTACATTTGCTATAAATATGAGTTAATTTAGATAATATAAGTTTATAGATCCATAATTCAAAATTAAAACCCATCTTATCAGTTACCTTATCAGTTCTTCAGTTTTTTCAACCGTAAATAACATATTTTCTTGTGATCTGCTAGACATAGATAATTTTTTTATGTTAATAAAAAGTGTTTTGAATTAATTCGTCAAAAAATACAATAAATAATTGTAATACTTAACATTAATTATGTACTTATAATAGTACACTATAATACCCTGTAATATTGTTTATGAAATAGGATTAATAATAAAATACAGATGACAGGTATACATCAATAGACATTAGAAAATTTTATAGGATGTATTATTTAGGTATATTACAATTAATAACAATAATAATTAATCGTATTATTATATAAAAATTAAAAATGTACAATTTTGTGAAAGTCTCACGACTCGTTTACACAATAAATATTATTTAATAAATTAATAATAAATTTAAGTGTACATAACATATAATAGGAAGCTTAGTATCATCGTAGACCGTAGTTCAGACGTAACAGCTGGTACACATAAACAAAATTTTTATTGGGTAATATAATTTAAATGTACGTATGTGGTTGCTACAATGTTTGTACTTTTTGCGTACATAGTAAATTATGAATTATAATATTTATTACATATTCTATCGTATCAAATGGATCAAAAAATGTTACGTTAAAATTATGAATAATACATCAATATATAAAAAAGTCATTTCAAAGAACGAAAATATCTTAAAGTTTAGAGAATACTGCATCGTACATTACACGGGTACACAAACGTATCATAACATTGTCGTAACCAAATTCATAGATCTCATACGTTTTCTCCTGTAAGACTAATGAGTTCCATATTCAAAGATAATTTTCCAGCGAATTTACTAAAAAAAAGTCGTGATGATAGTTTTTATTCGTATTCATTAAATTTATCACATAGTTTCTAGTGAGCACAACCTTAAACCGTTTTTAATTTTCATCGATAAAAACATGTAATAAATAATAATTAATAGTTAAAATATTATTATTTTATAATACACAAAAAAATTTCTAAAAGGTATGCACATAAAGAATATCGAAAATACGTTGGATAAAGTTATCCGGATAGTATTTTGCAGTAGGTTCCAATAATAATAATTAAGACAAGGATTTTGATGCACTTTGCATTGTTTTCTATAAACTAAGTATATTTTAATCACAATAAAAAAAATGTATTTTCCGTTTTATTTACAGTTTTCTATTTTAAGGCCATTTTATTTATTGTTCAGAGCATTTTTAGGACACGTAACACTGAAATCCAGTTTTTTTTTTTATGATTTTTACTTAAAAAAAAAAAGTAACTTTATAACGTGCTAACAGGTTTTTCAAATACAATCAATCGAAATCTTTCGAAACGCGATGCGACGACGAAAATCTAGATTACCTACGAGTGACGACAGAAAATCAAATGGAAATAATTTTGTTATCAGATTAAAAGTCCGCGTACAGAAGACTTGAAATCGTGCAATCCTGCAAAAGTTGTTATTATTATTTTTATTTTTTTTGATTTAATAAAAAAATTAATATTGTTTGGGTTCAAAACGTGTTTTAAATTAAATAAAAAAAAAAAAAAATGCGTTATTTTGAACTTTTAGAGCACGCGTAAAAGTTTTTCTCGGATTTCTTCCGACCGCATATAATGATGATGATACTCGTAATAACAGATTAACGATGATTCGCACGGGTGCGGCGCCTGCAGTCGACTACGAAGTACTGCGGTGAAAGCGCAGCGGCCCTTAGCCCACTTCGTAGCCGAATATGTTCTGCAAGTTGTAGTTGAACAGCTTGAAGTCGAGCTCGAACGTGCTGTACAGCCTGAGCACGGTGTCGTGGTCCAGCGGCGCGAAGTACTTGACCAGCTGCGTGGAAGTGTTGGAGTCTGGACCCTTCGGGAACCGGACGTCGGCCGCGCCCACCACGTGCCGGAGCAGGTAGTCCGAGTCCTCGACCAGCGACTCGTGCTTGCCGATGAAGTCGTAGTTGACGGCGCACGGCCGGCACAGCCTGTCGATGGGCGCCCAGTGCTCGTTGAACACCGTGTCCCGGGTGTCGGCCACGAACGCCGCGAACTCGGCGAACGTCACGTCGTCGCCGTCGCGCAGGGACTGCTCGGTGGCGTTGGCCCGGTACCGCCGGACGATCCGCCGGCCGAACCTCGACTGGAAGTACCGGGAACTGTCCTGGTGCCGCTGCTCCAGCTTGTTCCGGTACGCGGACAGCAGCCGCTCGAACGGGTGCCGGACGAACAGGAACTTGGTGTACGTGGCCAGCATGTCGGCCGCCCGGGCCGCGGAGTAGTCGCTCAGCCGGTCCAGCGTGCTGGGCTTGTGCACCATGTCCGCCGGAATCTGCGACAGGTTCGGCGCCGCGTCCGGCTGCGCGTTCCCCGACAGCACCATCAACACCCGTTTCCAGTTGGTGCACGCCACCTGCGGACGAAACGTCACAGCGATGGTCAACGAATGCCGTGTAATCAGTGTTTATTTTTTTAGGGGGTGACCGGGGGGTAATACTTCCCCCCCCTTCCCGGAAAAATGTAAGACTTACTACGTCGACTAACAATAAGACAAAATAAATATCATGATAGAGGTTATAGGTTGTATTGGAGATCATTAGGTACTCGTTAATTATAAGACCACTTCTTATGTGAAAAAAAAACTACAAAAATTGTGTTCCTGTGTAATTTAGATTTATTTTTACTTCCCTCCATTATTTGGTCTTATCTTATTGAATTCTTTTGAAAATGTACGATACCTCCCGGGATAGGAGGTCTGAAAAAAACACTGCATTTATAATAATACACGAATACGTGAGCTGCAAAGGGCGAGGCGTTGATTTCGTGGTGGGTGTTGTGACTCAACGATGACGTGGGTTTTTATTTTTTTTATTTTATTGACATTTGTGTCTTGATATAAAACTTTTGGAAAAGTAAAAACTCTTTGGTTTACAACTATTTAAGTCAGTTTTTTGAAGCGAATTGGATCTAATGGATGTCAAAAGTAAAAAATTCACAAAACTTAAAAAAAAAAAAATGAAAATCTTTACGCAAAACTAGTATTTGACTAAATCGAATTTTTTTTTTTTTTTGTACATAACTCAAAAACAAATAACCACAGATACTTAAAATTGTCATAAAATATTCGTGTTACATACCATGGTATAATTTTATAAATGTTTTGACTCTTTTTTAGATACGATATTTATTAACATTTGAATTCCCTAAATTTTGTTTAGTTTTTTATCTATAAATTTCGATAAAAAAATTATTCAATAGTTAAAAAATATGCTGAAAATTTAATACAAGGTTTTTCATAAGTTTTTTATTTATCAATTAAAAATATCAAAAATACGCGGTGACAATATATTTTTATATAAGCAAGCGTTTAATGTTAAAATGTTGACAACATTTACCATAAATCACGAAAATTTACTTACTATTATGTAATTAAAATTAGATTTTTTTTCATATTTTTGTATTGAAAATATAAAAATTTAATACAGATTCTTCGTAAGTTTTACTATGTGTAATAAAAAAAAAAAATTACCAGAACTCATATTTATTTTTCATTTTTTATAAGCGTTTGAATTTCAAATTTTTACGACATTGGATATCGCTCATAAAAAGCAATTTCTCCTCAATGGGTTTTTTAATATTCTGTTGTAACTTGTAATTCAAAAAAAAATTTTCCATACACACCGCCTAATATATTGACATTTTTTACATAATATGATATAATATTAACTTTTTGAATTACTTATAGACATTTGAATTTTTTCTATAATGTCGATAAAAAAATCACAAAAACTTGAAAATTGAATACAAAGTTTTTCATAATTTATTATTTTAGCTATTTAAAAATTTAAAGATGCATAGTCAAAATTATTTTGAATAAATTTAAATATTTACAAAATTCCATAAAACCACAAAATATTGCAAATAACTTTGTAGTTATAAATGTGTTGAGCATTAATTTTTTAAAGCATAAGATTGAAAAATTAACACAAGGTTTTCCTTATGTAATTCTAACTGTATTATAACTTTAAATTTAAACGAAATCTGTTGATCAGCTTCCAGCAATAAAATAAAATAATAATATTATGAAATGACTTATGAAGAATCTTGTATTAAATGGTCAAGATTTTTGACACAGGAAATATATTTTTATAGAAAAAAATCTAAAAAAAAAATACTTTGTGTAAAAAATGATAATATTTAAGATTTAAACATTTTGTGAAAATTTCAATTAGTTACGGTTATCCGTTAAGTTAAACCAGAAAAAAAAAATTTTTCAAATGCTACATTCACGTAAAAATTGATGTTTTTCTTTAATTTTTTTTACCTAGGTAACCCATACTACTAATCAGAGTCAATTTACTAGCAGAAATGAATAGCTAATGAAATAGTCAGGTTTTTTTTGGTACACAATAAACCGTATAATATCGTTATTATTATTTTAAGTTTTAAATTATACACAAATGTATTATACATTTTATAAAACACATAATAAACAATACAATATGACGTACTTAGACAATTGTTTTACATCATATTATAATATTAGAACAATAAATTATAGCTATAACGTCAATTTCATTTCCAAAAACATTATTTTATTATAATATATATTATTATTATTTATTACTATTATCTTAAACTTCAGTAATTCAACCTGAAAAGTATTCTTTAACTCCCCAGGGCACCACGGTTCACGTACTTTAGGAACCACTGCAATATATATATATATATATATATATATATATATATATATATATACGAAATAACCTGGACACCTGGTTTAATTATACGTGAGTGTGTATTTATATTGTACGGTACTATATAGTATACTATATGTACAAAGAAAAGTATACGTACACCTCCAATCTGTTTTTGAAGTCGGTCGGTAAAGTATAAGTGGGTTAGTAGTTAATACTATGAACTATGGAGAATAAAACTAGTTTTAATCTTCGTGGTCATACATTATTTACCTAAACGTATGCGCACTGGCCACCGACTGTTTTACCGTAAATACTTAATTATGTTAGAGTACATCATACCAACATACTCATAACGTATTGTCTCTATTTTATAAAATGTATTATAGCACAGCAAATTAGCGTTCGACAAAACCGACTTTGTATTGCTAGATTTAATATCATAGTGATCTTTAATCGAAATTACTTGTACTGTCAAACTTAAATAATTACAATTAGAACATTACAGCCTATATTTGTACGTTGGTATTTTACAATATTTTGATTTTCAAAGTGGTTATATTATGAGCATTTTTAAATAACAATATTTTACATACATATAACCATAGTGATTAAACGATTTAAATACATTTAAATATACCATTAAGTTTGATAATAAATCAATTAATTTTTATTATTGGAGCTAAAATAAAATACAAGAATGTTTTTGATAATCGCAAATCAAATTTTCTATTTTATAAGACCGAGACAACGCTTCCGGGTATAAAATGTCCTATTAAGATCTAATAATCTATAACATTATGTTAACTCACCTTTGGTACGTAACAATAGAGCAGCTTATGTCGATTATCAACCAAAATGTGGTCCAAGAGTACACTATCATTAACGGCTTGTTGGTAGTCATCGTCATCTTTAGGTAACTTGAACGAACGGCACATTACTGACACATGCTCTTGTCTTTCTAGATAGATTAATCTCTCTAAAAAAGACTGTGTGTCATAATTTTCTTCCGTGAAATCATCTACGAGACAAAAAAAAAAAAAGAAAGTTTTTTAGCATTTTAAAGAAAAACCAATTTTTGTACGCCAGCAGTCTGTGTCATTGTAGTATCTTTGTAATTTATTTTCCTATTATCTGTGAACTATTATACAGTAATTTGAACAAGTTTTAGCAAAAAACCTCTCACCGACATAAAATGTAAAAAAATGTAAAAAATTGTGGATTTTAAATGTTTTTAATTTCTATTGAATAACTTATAAAAAACTTTGTATTCAAATATCAGCTCTACGAGCTATTAAATTATTTTTTGATTTGATGAAATTCGTCAAAATTCTAATCTCAAACACTTAAAAAATAAAGAAAAATACGGCTTATATTTATCTACCGTATCATAATTTAATTATAAGAATAATTAAAATTAAAATATAAAACTTGAATAAGAAACCATTAAAAAACTACAACTACAAAAATTTAAAATTTAAAAAAATACTGCTTTAATATATTTAATTTAATCGTTAGAAACACGACTCATTCCTTTTTTCTCGAATTTACCTAGTATACCAACGTAATTTATTATATATTACGGAAGCCTACTAATTGTAATTAAGCGTACAACAATAGTGTGTGCAAAATAGATACGTAGCAAAATATGTTACGCTGACATACTTTCAAAAACGCACATCCAAACACGCATATTATTTCTGCGATTGCAACAATTTTCTAATATTTGATTACATTTTATTCCCCGAAAAGAAATCAATGGTGTTAAAAATCTTATAGCTAAATGATCAACATTTATCAAATACATTTAAGTTTCTGTTCTTACATTTTGTATATGTAAAAATATAATAATTGAGTATACCTAAGCTATTTATTAAGAATATTCTATAATATTGTTTATGATTTCTTCATAATTTTTTTAAAGCGTTAAAAAGTATTATTAATTTATACTTTTATATTCTGATTGGAGCGATGAATGTTATTAGTTTTTGTTATTTATAATTATACGTGTTTTTTTTTTGATTTAATACCTATAACTTAATAGAACAGTAAAAAAAAAAAATAAGAATTTGATTTTAACTTTGTAGGTAGTTTTTATTAAAAAATTAGATCTAGTTGATACTATGAGGGGACCAAAAGTAACGAAATCAATTTTAATTTTTTTATTGTAAACTAAAAATAAATAACTGCAGAAACTTGAAATGTTCTTAGAATATTTATATAATCATTTACTAGTCATCAAATAATTTAAAAATATTTAAATTTAAATTTTGTTTGATATAATATGATAAAATTTTTGTTTTTAGTAAAAAATAAAATTTATAAATATAAATTATAGTACAAAATTCCTATTAAGTTTTTCGTTTATTAATCAAAAAATATTAGAAATACATAGTCACTTCATATTTTCATATGAATTTAAAATTAGAAATAATTACTAAATTCATCGATATCACTAAAATTTGTAAATTATTTTACAATATAAAATTCATAACACTTTTTATATTTATATATCAATTAAATTTAAAAATTTAATACAAAGTTCCACACAAGTTTTTATTACAAGAATTATATAAAATAGTTTTGAACGTAGTCTCGTAAATATTTTTTAGTGTTTTAAGATCAAATGTGAACGAAATTGGTTAGTCGCGCATAAAATAACGATTTTTCATGAAACGCTTTAAGTTGTTTATTTTTACTTTAAAAAGTATTAACCGTGGTTTTTAATAAAATTAAACTTTTCATAGTTGTAGTTAAACTTAAAACATTCCATTGATAAATAAGTTATTATGTTTTTACCAAATGAAAAGTTTTTAAAGTATTTAGATTAATTTTAAAATTAAATTAAACTATTTCCAATTTATAAGTACCACTAACCTATTCACATCGCTCTACAAATAAACGGTATTGAATTAAAAGTTATAACAATAATATATAATATCTAGTATGATAAGTACAATGTTTTGGGAGAAAAAATTAACTTATCGTATTAGAAATAGAAAAATAAATTTCTATAAATTATAATACAACGATATAATTATAAAATAAATTATACTTGGTAATATAGGCTACCTACTAGACCGTCTCCACTAAGAACTGTTTTTCGTATGTAATAATTTATCATTGAATTCAAATAGAAATCCATTACAGTGACCTACTCAATGTTGAAGTACAGTAGGAGTGGTTACCTATTTCCCCCTCTTTTGTTTTTAAATTAAATTTTAAATAATTTACAATCCAAAAAAAAAATGTAATTTTTTTAAATTATCATATTTTAACAAAAGTTAATTGATAAATACAAAAAATTTTTACTGTAATTAACCATTATTGTTATTGCATATTAAGTTTTAGAATTATTATAGCATGAACATAGGTACTGTATTTACCTGTAATTATAATAATTATTAGTAGATAGTATAAGGGCTATAGTAGGAAACTACTGAGTACTGAGGTTTTGATAGAGTCATAATTTTAAGATTAATCTAGGTAGATACCTAATAAAAATAATTATAAGTGTAATTAGATTAATTATTTAATCAAGTGATCTATCTGTGGCTAGATTTAGTGTGGTTGAGTGTACTACAGAACAACGGCCCTAACAAATTTAATTATTATTTTTAAATGTAAATTTAAAAGGTTTATACAGGAAAATATACTCAAAATATTTATTGTATGAGGATACATATTAAAAACAAAGGGAACCACTTTTCTGAATAGTAGGTGTTAAGTATACGCCAGAGTCATAGGTATTTAAGATGAGGGTTTATAAATAGAGTTATTTTTCGGGTAGCTGATTTTTAGAGGAAGCTATTTTTTTTTCATTGTTTTAATCTTTTTGTAATCGGGTTCACTTATTTGCTATAACTAATACTTTGATATTTTTCTTTTTAACTTTTAATAAAATTATACACAATTAAACACAAATAGTAGGTTCTCCGATACTAAAAATATTCAAGCTAATATTTATTCACATAACTAAATTTAAAGGTAGGTATTAATAATTATTATGTTTATACTTTTCAGATTAATGCAATCAATATTTGAAACAATTGTCAATAAATTCCACATTTTAAATAAATAAATATTACGACAAAGGTTCTGACATAGAGATAACATTGAGTGCTTTTCAAACAAATAAGCAATAATGGTTTAAATAATAACATATTCTATATTACTAGATACAGTAAAACATTGAACCTTACAATATTTTATACTAGGTATAAATAATATTATATAATATAGATAGTTTATTAGAATAGTTTTTCCATAAACAACCATTAACATATTTTAAGTATGAAATATATTTATTTTTTTCACGTATAAATTTACCTCGTACGTTTTAATAATGTACATGTACCTAATACTTTTTATTTACGTTTGTGGCTTGTTAAATAAAGTAAAATAAATTTCAAAAATCCGAAATTGTATAGTATTAATGTAATAATATTGTGCTGGCCTTGGCAAAAAATAATAATGTAAAACGTTGCCATTCTAAGGCACAAGAATGTATTGTAGCAGGAACTAAAATTGTGTGTTGTACGGCACACTTTATGTAGTACAAAATGCTAAATGTGTTATACGAAATTAAAAAGTATGTACCTAATGGCCTAATTATTTTTTACAATTTTTATTTTATTTTCTTATTTATTTTTTTTTCGATTAAATGATTTACACACATATATATATATATTAAAATATGCTGACATTTTTTGTAAAAATATCTTTTCTGCATAATACATATGTTACGGACAAAAGCCAAAATTGGGTGAACCTCAGAAATGCCCAGAGAAAACGCGAATTGCCCTCGATACTTGAGCAAAATTTCATGTTTCGGCTTTTCCCTGATACACCTAGTTGTAACCAACCTAAGTAACTTTTTTGGTGGGACTTTAATATAATTATTAATGATTAGTGATCACGTCACGTTTTTAATATTTATCATTGTTATCGTATTTTATTTACTCCTTAAATTAGTTTTATTATAAATATACAGAATACACCTTAACTAATTGTTATAATATTGTAGACGGTAGAATAGAAAATAATCATATATATATGAGCACCTCAAAAATATTTTTTTTGTCGTATTTTTATAAATAAATGTACTCACTGTTTTAATTCTTAAAATCAACATTATCCCTAATATCATTATAAAGATTATAATTATTTATGCGTATTTAATCATGTTTAATTATAGTTGAATAATAATATTTATTTTATAATTTTTTATATTTATATCATAGTATTTAAGACGCTATAGTTTTGTCAAAATAAGGTTGGTCACAACTCACAACTATGTTTGTCCGAGCAAAAGCCGAAATATAACATTTCGCCCAAGTATCGTCAATAGTTTGCGTTTTATCCGAGCATTTTTGAGGTTTTTCTGTAACATAAATTAACTGTTAACTATGTATATATAAATTAATAACGTACCTAATATATATTATCTTCATAGAAAACTTTGACTAATTCGTGTTTATGTGTATGGTTTATATACATTTTGGGGGGTGTGATGGCAAAGCCACTAGTCACTACCATAATACAAAATTTAATATAAATTGTGTATTATGGAAAATAATTTAAATAGTTTCTATATCGTAATCTGTACTCTATGTCTCTACAAAGCAGTGTTTCCAACCTTTGTATTATAGCGATACACTATTTAAATATTTCATACTTTACGACATGATAAAAAAAAAATAATAATAATAATAGTTACCTAATATTAAGTATTTAATTTAAATTGATAATATAAAATAACAAAAAAACAAATACAACTTAAAAAATTATGATAAATTTCGATAACAGATAACTTATTTTTAATCATCATAGAAATTACATATTGTATTAAAAATACCTATCAATTTTCGTAAATCATATTTAATATGCTTAGCGACATATTTGGACTTTCCGGCGACACACTGGTTAAGAAACACTGTTTAGACAACTATTTTGGGCCAATAATAATAAGCCAGTTTAGGTAAAGATGAGCTTCGATGAAATATTCTAATTTTTATATTATATTTTATATGGCGATATATTTAAGTCTTTATTGTATGTTTTTTATAATGGTGCATACCAACATAATATAATGTATTAAATTAATCTGTTTTTGTTTAAATAAAAAAAAACTTTATATTTACATTAAAAATAATATTATATCATGACTAAATGTCTATGTCAATACATCTTGTTCGTTGTGTACTATATTTTACTTTACAATAAATATAACCTTTGTCTCATTTTTATTTAAGTATTACTGTATTATTATTCATATTATGAGCAACTATAACTTATATTTTAAATTGTAAAATATCTTTTTACGTAATAGCGGATATATTGATCGCATATTATTGTATAATAACTAATAAGTAATTAGATAGTTATTTGTTCAAAAAGTACCGATTTATATATTATATTTATATGTTTATTGATTATAAGATATATTGAAATGTATTTAATTTATTTTACACTCGTATAATAAACATTTCTATTAGCAAAATGTTAACAATGTAAATAATACATTATTATAGTACTTACGAGTTTTAAAAATACTTAAGTAAAAATGTTCTGTGTAAAATAACATCGCTGTTGAACAAATTATTATCCAACACAGTATCACAATTTTGAGTATCATAATTTATTTTCTTTAGGTCGCAGTTGAAGAATCATTTTTTTTTCTCTAAAAATGTATGTCACGTAAACACTTTTCCAATCACCTGATTAAATTTAAATTTATAACTAGATAAGGAACACATTATTTAATAATTAATAAAATAGTTAAAAGGTAAAAGAGAAGAAGAAGTTGTCGTCTTTAAGCCACATAACTGAATATTTCTCGAACCACTTCAGTAGGTCAACAATCTATTGCGGCTGCTGACCTTGACTTTAAGAAGGAGTAACGGCGACAGTATTTACCACCTCCAACAAAACAGGTTTAACTTCATAATAACATTATAAGTATTTTATTATTGATAAAAAATATATATCAAAATGATTTCCCATAATATATTATTAATATATTTTAATTTTTATTTAATATATTATTAAACAAATAATTACTTTTGATACTCGCATAAACAACTAAAATGTATCAACTTAACTAAATATGTGAAATAAACTATACGGATGTTTAATATAAGTGAGAAATCATTAAAAATTCTAATAATAATATAGGTCGAGTTTAAATATGCGTGTATTAGTGCATATAAAACCAAATTATATAAAAAAAAATCATTATTTAAAATAAAACAATTAAGTGTGTTATATGTTACTGGCCATGATTCCTATAAATTTCCACAGCATAATTTAATAAATTTAAAAAAATTATACTCAATTCTCAAATCACGTGTTTTTTATAGAAATCAAAGGGTTTTCAAGAAATGGTTCTGAAAATTAAGGGGATTGCAAACGGTCATCAAATAAAATATGTCAATTTTTTGTCAACCATACTAATAGACTTAAGTAATGTAATTAAATTTTTAAAAACTGATTTTAATTTATTATTATGTCGACTGAAAATTGATCAGGCCATCTTTTTTTCAAATGTCATTCCTAACTCCAATACATTTGGTTTGATTACTATTTAAAATAGTATACGATAATTTAAATTTTAGGTACCTATCCAAAATTAAAATTTTAAAATTTTAAATGTGGCTTGATCGATCTCAAGCAGATGTATTAACCAATTCAAATGAGTTTTCAGAAGTTTTCGAATATCTTTCAGAAATCTATCAGTAGAATTGACTAAAATTACATACGAATGAGCATACATACTTTACAGTTCACGAGCGTAACGCCGCAGCAATGAATTATTTACGTGTTAATACAGTAACAGTTCGCTATTTATTTTACATTACACTCGCATACATACATATTCGTGTTCACTTGTTACACACACATTTATACGAAACCCGCACACACACTAGAAAAATTGCCTATACTTAACTCCTTACAACTATCCGTTTGTAATGATTCGGACGACCGTTACTGAGGAGATCAATAAAGGCAATTTTTTAAGCGCAAACTTGTGTGTCGGGTTAATGTGTGCATAGTAAGTAATAATAATTATTAATTACAGTAGTGTAAAATAAATAGTAGTAACGCTTCCGCACAAGTCATTAATGCAAATGAATAATAATAATAATTAATCCGTTTTTATTTTCTTACAATTATGTAGGAAAATAATTATACCATTTATAACGACTGACCTATTTTTCTGATACGATTACTGTGAGAATACTTTGAATTTTTCAGAGTTTAATTGAAAATGATTAATTCACATTTTCTTATTAATTTTTTTAGTTGAATATTATAAACATTTTAAAGTTTTTGGTATTCAAAATTTCATTTTTTTTAAATGGAAAGATTATTCTCAAGTAAACTTTTTTATTTTTTTTACACTAAAAAATAAATATCTTTTTCAAATACATTTATTAAAAAGGTATTTTTAGCAAGTGTGTTTATTTATATGATAAGTACTTGAATTTTTATATCAATTAGATCTTATATCTCGTACATTAAAAAATTAATAATAAGTAGGTAAGTTTTATATTTTATAATGTTAATATATTATTATATCATATATTTTATAAGCAAAATTTTTATAAATAAAAGAACAATTTTTTTTTATAGATGTCAATAATTGAATAAAAATATACTTTTTCTAAGAATTCGTAATAGTGTGCTTCAAGTTAAAAAATTGAATTAAATAAAAAAATGTTTTCAAATAATTCAAAACTAGGATGGATATTTCATTAAATATAATGTATTAAATGCCGAAATAATTGTCAGCATATTTCGATTTATCATGGCAACTTATGTTCGTTTTAATAGTAAATTAAATTAACTTATGATTTAATTTAAATATAAAATTATTATTTGTGTTCTCTGGTGGAATTTTTTTAATATTTAATTTTTAAGGCGAATTAAAAGTGTGTAAAATGAAATGTCAAAAATTCCTCATAATCTGTTTTAAAATTTAAATAATGAAAAAAACTATCAACAAAACAAAAAAATATTCTAATAGTAGGTAATTGTATTGTAATAATTTCTTTGTTACGGAAATAAATTCCTAGCGTAGTTTTTTGTCATACACATTTGCCGTTTGATAACAGTAAAATGAACATAATTAATTCTTATATAGATATTTATCTATACGGTTATACCTGTGTTAAATAATAGAACCGTATAAAAATATATCAATAAAATTATTTTGACTTTTAAAGAGTCAATGTTTTATTTTAAAAAGAACAAACAATACTGCACAGGCATGTGACTATGATATGGTTACCAGAGTGCATTACTGGTATAGAATCGTCGTCGGAGGACAGAAACGTAGTGCCGCTGTATTTCACCGCACGTCGACACTACGTATTTATACGTAACATAGCCATCGATCGTGGCGGTCGTCGTCGGCGATCGCCGTCGTAAAATTTTCATACGTCAAAACATAGTTTTTTAAAATTATATTGAGAAAATACAATTGGTATTGAGTTTAAACGGTTACTAATGTATTTTACTACTGTTAAATAAAATAAAAAACTGATTTGGTGTAGAAACATACAACGGAATAGCCGAGAATACGTGTTTTTGGAGAAATATATTTTATAGTGTGCGTTTCGTTTTCATTGACGGTAGATGGCGCTATTGAAGTGTGTCATTAGATCACTCGAATTTTCAACAATTATACGATACAATTGTGTATTTAAAATTAATTTTCCGTGACAGGTAAGGTGTATAATAATGAGTTATTAAAATATACAGCCATTTTTCAAAATCGGATATATTTGAAAATCGATTTTTTTGCATTTTCAAAAATGTTCAAATTTAAAACTGCAAATGTTTTAGATGTGCGTTTTTCCTTAAGTATGTTTAAAGATGTTGGAAATGTATCGCTTCTCGGCCTATCGGCTAAGATCAAAGTGTAGTATCTGTTCTTATCAGCTTAACATCTGATACACTCTTCATCGAAGGGTTCAAATGTTAAACTAATTTTTTCAAAACTGGTGGAGATTTTGGGGCTTGCTCCTGCTCCACCGCGGGTTGACCCGGTATTGCAGTACCACCGGGAACGGCCCACATAACAAAATTATCTTTTTTAAACTAATCAAAATCATTGTTATAAAAACATTCAAATATTTCCCAATATGTCAAAATTCCAAATTTTTGATAAATTCAAAGATGATATTTTGGATTTCCATATTTTCACTCCTTCGACCAAGAATCTTGTAATTTACAATTCTCTAAATATTCCAAACCATCACTTAGTGTTTATAATTTTATACTTTAACATATTATTCATTAATGTCCAAAACCTTTTCAATTTTATAATCCAAAAGACTCCAAAATATGCAATGATTTTTGACGTATACAATTATATTCTAGACTGTTTGTATCACGTATAAAATCATGTAATGTAATGTTACTGGCATGTGTTGAATCCTGGTTATTGGAACCAAAAATTTATCAAAGAGTTAAAAATTTGCAAGAAATATTTAATTGGTTCAACAAAAAAATTACATCAAAACATTTCAAAGATCAAATATTATTTTAAAAAAAAACGATCAAGCTATAATTGTAAAATTTACAGGCTAAAATTTTATTTTCTGCTAACATTAATTATTCTCGGAGTTCCGAATAATATTATTGTTTATTATATAAAATACTTGGCTCGCAAAAAATCAGTTTATATTTAACTTTTATCGATTATACTAGTTTTTGTTATTTATTTGCTTACCATGTTTAATAATTATTTTAATTAAAAATATATTTACTACAAATTATAATTAACTATTTTTAAAAGTGATAAAATAGAAAAAATTGTGTAATATTTATAGTATGTAGTATGTACATAAATATCAGTATATTTTGTCGATAATAAAATGTATAGGTATCGTTGATACTTAATCAATAGGCTACGACATTACAATATTGAATCTACAAGCCCTTTATTGATGATTAAAAACGCGAGTTATTGTTACATTTAAAATGACTAAAACACCTAAATGTTAGTGTAAAAATTTATTAACTAAAATAATTATCATACACTACTAGTCTACACAATATTTAACAATTAACACAAAGAAGGTGGATCCTAGCACTTTCAACGCCGCCCGTGACTTCGGCAGTTATACCGCGATGCCGCGTTGTTTTTAGAAGCATAACTCTATTAATTCATAAAGTTGAATAAAATTTTAATATTAATTTTTAACAACTTTATTGTTATCTTTTGTGTATAAAATACTTAGACAGTACACACACAATATGTTATATATCATAAATCTAAACTTATAAGATATGAATATAAAATTTCCTAACAGAAAATAACCATATAATAAATAGAAAAATATTGCATAATACAGTATGTTATAATAGTTGTTATGTTTTGTAAATGATTAAATATCAGTAGATAAATTTATAATATGTCTAAAATACATTCTGTATACATGTATATACATTGTTTTGGGAAGGCCGTCAAAAATAACGATTATTCGTATCTAAAAATAACGAAAACTCAAACCAATTATAGTTTTAAATTTAGAGTTTATTGTCTACAGCCCGTGTAAGCTTTCAGAGTTTAATAAAATAAAATTGATTAAATTATGACGGATACAAACGTATATGTTACTGACGCGTAAACGCGTCTTTGGCCCAATGGAATAAACTCTGTTGACGCGTATACGCGTCAGCGGCGTTGAAAGTGCTAGTATAGTATTATATGCATACGATATTATGATTATGATACCTATTAAAATTAGTATAGTATAACGAAGTGCTACATTTCAGATGTATTAAAATTTATAATATATATCGCAATGATTATATTCTTTGTATTTGATGTGTTTTAAAAGAGTTGTAAAAACATAGTTGACAGTATTGACACTATGTTGTTCGAATATCGAACCATTCACCATTAAGAGTGCTAGTGACGTACGTAGGTACGGAAATCGCGGTTCCGGTGAATCGATTTTATTTTTTCAGTTTTTACCTTAATTACTGATAAGACAGACTTGAGATTAATCAGAACTGATAGGAGCACAATATAATAATTATATTAGTATGCATTCCATCCTACAGGACGTTTCAATCGAAATTCAAAATTATTCAAACACCACAGAATTCTGTGTTAACATTCCAGCTGTCGTTATGACTTAGTTCGGTCTAAAACAATCAAGAGATTTCGGAGCTGTACGTACACCATAGATTACTTGCAATCTGTAATTACGATACATTACTTTGACGACATAATTTGAACAATTTTACACACATTTACATACTACGATTGTCTATTCGTCTCCATAATCATGAAACATTTGCAAAATATTATTTATATTTAAAATTAAAATTCCAGGTATTAAAAATATTATAGACTTAAATAAAGCATGTATTAACAAATAAA